CCTAAGTAAGTCGTACCAGTTCCATAGCTGGCCTTCTCCAAAGCATGAAATGGGGGCACGTAGCTGTCAGCTTTAGATCTTATGGGTTTAGGGTTTAGGGTTTAGGGTTTAGGGACTTGTGAAGTTAGCATTCAAGGGCTTAGACGTTAGGATGTAGGGCCAGGGCCATTGGTAATTCCATAGCGCTGGGTTGTGGAGCATGTCATCATGATTGCAAAAGCTAACACGAAGCGTCGCTTCAGAGCTGGGAAGGGGCCAGCAGATCAGAATTGCCCACGCTCCTAGATAACATCACTCTAAACAAGTTGTTCTGGAATCACACTAGGGTAATACACAACCTCATGTTTGACTGACTGGGTCCCCTTATTGCATCAGCTCTCATGGTTTGGACCACATGTTGCCGCGCGCATCAAATGGCATATATGTTTGGTTACCGGAAAGGATAACAGAAAGTCAAACGGAAACGAAAGTGGAAAGTGAATTGGATATGAAAATGGAACATGAATTGACACTGGGATCTTAAAGTAAGGAAACCGAGGGGTTATATCTGCAAAGGAGTTGCCATTGCCTTGCTCGAGGTATAGGGATGAAAATCAGAATCTTAGGTGTTGGAATGAAGGACTGCTGGAATTTTCCTGGGATTCTGGAGGAAAATATGCCATGATCTGAGGTAGGCCTGGGGGCCATGAAAAAACTTTTATAGGGACTATACAGAGTTTTACGGGCAAGCAAAATTGAAAATACCGCGTGTGGATATCAAAGCCAAAACAAATGCAAAAACGGCTGAACATGTCAAGTGGAGTAATGCCCACCAGCTGCCCGTCCGAATCCCCCACAGTTTGCTAAGGAGCGCAAAGTGGATGTTAGTTCAAAAACATGCATTGGTTGTTTGGGGGGTCCTTTCCAGAAGCATACCAGCATGTGAGATCATGAGGCAAATCAAGCAGACTCCCGTTTTGAAAACATCTCCATCTTGACTTCATGCAGCCTTTCTGGAGACATGTTTCCACAAGCTTTCTCCGCAAGATACAGCCAGGGGTGGCAGTCATCCACCCAAGATATGTCTACGTCAACTCTATGGTGAGGACCTTGCTTGGAATTCAGAACTTAGGGATTTTAGGATCTGAGTGTAACTTGGTGCAATTGTGACGGAGAATCAATGGAAAAAACACGGAAACTAAACACAGGGTTATCTCCGGATTGACGGAACAAAGATGTTATTGCCATGTCACTGCCATGATACGCACATAGCGTGAGTAGTACGGTTTCCTGAGAATGGTAAGTGTATTTCAGCTCCTTAACCCAGTAAGTTTCCCATGATTGGGGACAGCAGTGGTGAAGAGCAGTTGCAGGGACAACAAAGGTTTGGGGATCAGGTTTTAGGGTTTAGGGTTTAATTGGGGTTTAGGATTTAGGGCTGAGGGTCTCTCAAGATAGCAGGTTCGCAGAAGCTAATGATATGTGAGGACTGTGGAGGGACTAGGGGGGTTTTATTCAGGGCAACAGTCAATGGAATCCTTCCACCCTTGGCTGCGTGAAATCTGCGAAGGTCACCGCTGGACTTGCTACTACTAGTAACTGGGTACTCCCCTGCTCCCCTAGATCCTGAACCCTAAACCCTAAACAATAAAACAAGAACTTGAAAATGAACGTTCCTGCAGAAGGTCGAGAAGAACGCAATTGCCTACAATCTGCGTAGAACATTGAACCGTTAGCTACATTGCAAGGAAAACCTATCCAAATTATCCTCTATGACTCGCAAGCCAGAACAGGTCTGCGCAGGGTGCAACGTTGGGACCCTTTTCCTCCGGGATCTCACGACATGTGAAAGTACTGCACCCCTACGACAAGGCACAGGGAAGTACCCAAGCTATGTACAACGAACAAGGTTTCTTACAGTTGTAAGTTGTAACTTGACTTCTAAATCGGCCTCAGAACACGCCTGGAAAAAAGCAGAAATGGAAAAAGGAATCATAAAATTCGGAATAGGATAAGAAATTCACGGGCAAGAGCTACATTATCGAGTATATGGACTTTCGTGTGAGCTATTACGACGCTCCTCCCGCTTGTGGCAGGGCCGGTCGAGGAGTCCTCTCATCCTTCACCACCTGAGGCTTAGGGTGCAGAGTGCTTGTGGAGCACATAGGGATATATAGGGGTACATAGTAGGGAGTGAAAAAGGAACTTGAAATTACTATATTGCTTTAAGGAATGGGGCTTAGTTCTCTTGGTGGTCGAACCACATAAGCTTTTGTTCTTCTTTAAACGCCTATACCCACAAGGAGGAATAATCTTACTCCATATTGAGGACTTAACCCTGAACTCTAGGCGCTAAACCCCAATCCCCATTCAAAACACTGAACACCTGACTGTCCACACAAAGGACTTTTGAAGCTGCCCGAGCTTGCTACAGATGCCTGCTGAACTGTTGATACTGAAAACCCTGCATGACCTTAGTATGCTGTAATACCATACCGCCCAAGGTTTAAGGTACCTATGGTCATGCAAAAATCTTAGTATCCACAGTAAGAAGTATGATAAGATTTCGAAAGACTGCGAGTCATATTCCCTTCTACTCCTTCAGTGGTCTTAGTATACCATATTTCAAATATCTTTTTGAACACCCCCGGCAAGTAGTCTCACATGTTGAACTCTGGGACTAGCCTTGGTATTATAGTAGTCTCAATGTATTCTCCAGTGTCCCAAACTCCCATTATATCATCTCCAAAACATCAATAACTCTTCCCAGTCCCAAAGATCCCTATTATAAGATCTTCAAGAAACCAACAGCTGCCACGAGATTGTTCCGTTCCCTGCAAACCTTATGAGCCCCAAGGATGTGATGGCTTCCATTCTGTTGTCCCCTCCCTCACCCTCAACCCTAGAAACTTATAGTCCCCCTTAAGTAGATAGAATATGGGGTATATTGGGGATCCTGTTATAATATACCCAAAGCCATATTCTATCTACTTGAGGGGGACTATACACCCTGAAACCACTGAATTCAGGGATTTCAGGCTCAAGGTTGCCAGTTGCGGGGCATGAAGTGCTTCGAGATCTAGGTTCAGAGCTTAAGTTTTGGGGCTCATGGTTAGGGGTTAAGGATGTCGGGCTTACTGTAGTGGTTTAGGGCTGCGAGGTTTAAAATTTAGGCAACATTTCAAAGCAAATTCCCCCCATACACCATCAAAATACAGCATCCTCATGCAAATGCCCATGCAGGACAGGGCTCTTAATGTCGACTCTTGTACCTAACAGCCTCGATAACACTTGAACTCCCGTGGCAGTTTTGAAGAAATTGGGGGTTCCCTTTTCTGGGTGTCCTTCAGCTAGGGATGGAGCGAAAATTGTACCGATATTGGGGACCCTTTTGTTTTGGGAACCCGCATGACTTGGGGGTACACCTTAGGCATCGAGGGGCGCCGACTACTTGGGGGTCCATTGCAAATTAAAACCGGATAATTGTATGTAGAACCAATGTATACTTCAGAACCATACGAAATAGGGACCTAGGGGCCTTATGACATGGTTGGTACGTACAGTTCTAAGTAGAATACAATTATGCACTTTGATGATGAATTCTGGTTCGGGCATGGGGCCAAGGTTTAGCGCTAGAAATTCCGAGCTCTGGGTCCAGGGTTGACGGTGTGTTGGGACTCCCTTTTCCGTCGGCCATGCACCCAAAATGAATTTCAGCCGAGAGAAGATCTTCGTAAGCTGACAGTGCATTCTTTCGAGTTCTGGCATAGCATTCAAAGTCTAGAGCTTAGGGTGCTGGGTTCAGCGCTGCAGGTTTAAGGCTCGGATTCTAAGGGCCTCGGGTCGATGATTCAGTCTTTTTTAAATGGGACGTTTGGGTTTAGGATTTAGGGTTTAGGCTTTTCAGTTTAGGGCCTAGGGGGTCAGGGTTCAGGGGTTCGGGCCAACATGAAGAACCTCAAAATGACACGCAGTTTAGGGTTAACGGTTACAAGTCCCCTTAAGTAGATAGAATGTGGCTTTGGGTAGATTATAATAAGATCCCCATATACCCCATATATCCCCATATTCTATCTACTTAAGGGGGACTGTAATTTATTGTAAATTATGATTTAGGGCCCTGCAGTGAGCATAAAGTTAGCACACCCCATCGATATGAACACCAAATCGAACCTCCTCGCTTGAATTCTGCGTGGGGGCCCCTTGAGTTCTGGGTTAGCCAGCCACCCACTGTTACTCTACCCCCTGGATTCTCCCTTAGATGGGCTTGCTTAGTTAAGGGCAAACCATAGAGTGTAGTATAGAGGAGGTGTCAGGTGTCTAGGAGAACCGATAATGAAACCCAATGCTCCTGCATACTCGGTCTTTTTCCGCAGTGACCTAAAGGCACTGCCTAGAATGGCGCTCGAACATTTCAGCAAACCCCCGAGTGCTTCGCAGGGATTGAAACAATCAACTCATAAGATTGCTTTTTCAATGGAAGTGCTCTATCAATACATTCCGTTTAAACCCTCATCAACCCTAGACATATCACTTCCGCTCAGAGTGTCCGCATGATGAAGTGCATAGACACTAGAATCACTAGAGTATTTGCCTTCAACCCCTGCAAGACTGTTTGGATTCCACTTCAAAACCCTACATAACCCCGTATACCCCTTTACATCCATTGTATACCCCTGCATACCCCTTCTGGATATCCCAATGTACCCACATAATGACATATACCCTATACCCAAAACCCCTAAACCCTCAACCCCTAAACCCCTAAAAACTCTAAACCCTAAACGCAAAGCTCCATAAACCTTAAACCCTTAACCCTAAACCCCTACACCCCTAAACCCTAAGCCCCTAAACCCCTAAACCCTGAACCCCTAAATCCCTAAACCCTATAGCAGTTTCCATTTTCTTTCCATTATCCCTATATATAACCCCAATTGAATCCCAATATAATCCCAACCCAAAACCCTAAACCCAAAACCCTGCGAAGCGCCCATCAGAAAACAGCCCTCGGTATCATCGCATCAGGCAGGGGCCAGCTGCACTTCCGCCTGAAATCTGTAGGATTTTAGTTAGTTTAGGGTTTAGGGCTTAGGGTTTAGGGGTTTAGGGTTTAAGGTTTGGGGTTTGAGGTTTAGGGTGTGGGGTTTGGGGTTTAGGTTTGGGGTTTAGGGTTTGGGGTTTGGGGTTTAGGGTTTAGGGTTTGGGGTGTAGGGTTTGGGGTTTGGGGTTTAGGGTTTAGATAGTAGGGCATGGAAAAAGAAAATGGAAACTACTATATTGTTTAGGGATAGGGTTTAGCATTTTGGGCGGCTGAAACGAATAAAATGCAGCTCAAATAAATTGCAACTCACAGGGCAGTTTCAATAAATGAGCCATTGTCTAAACTCCTAGTATCCCCCCTAACAACCCCTATAACAGTCCCCTATAGAATCCCCTATATAACCCCCTTTAAGGAGTTTAGACTATAGCTCAAATGGGGATGTAGAACCCAGACTGCTAGGATTCCCGTCCGGAAGACCCCTAGCTAGTGCTCCCTCGCTCTTTGGAAACCCCGGCATCTTGTTCTGTACTTTTGTGGTTGAAGTTAGGGGTGGAAGGGGCGGGGGCTTATTGCCTGGGGCTTAAGGTTTAAGGTTTTAGGGTTTAAGGTTTGGATTTCCAGGCTGACGGATTTCAAAGGATTGGATTTGGGATGATCCATATGTTGAGATGCATAAATTCTGACAAACCCCCAGACTCAACAACAACAACCAAAACAAGCGGAATATAAGTGAAGCGATAAAAATACTGAGAGTCTTAAGCATGATCATAGCTTGGCATGTCTGGCGCAGCTAAGCTGCACCTGCGCCGCTTGAACTTGCTGGTTGTCAGCGGGGGAGTGGATCCCTTCTGTTGCCCTCTTTAAACCCCTCTACTAGCGTCATCTCCGTTTTTCTTCATTTCCTACAAAAAACGTTCGCCAAAGTTGAAGCTGAAAGCCCCATGCAAGCGAACTCGTTGCCTTGCACCTCAGAAAAGATGTTAGACAATTCTAGATTTACTTCCTAGACTAGGATTCAGGTTTACTGCTTACTGTTTACGTTCCAGGCAACAAACTACCTACTCTGGAACCCAACCAAGGGCCTTGTGAACGCTGCAGCCCTTTACAAAGAGTTTATGCCAGGTAGGTGTCCACACACGTCACCTCGCTGATCAAAGGAAATGGGTCAATGACTCGGCCACCATACTTCCATAGCAGATTTCACACGACGGTCCTCCCGCATCCTCCCGGAACCGGATCAGCCCGCCAATGGCCGCCCAGACTCTGGCCTTCTGCTTGATGGGCCATTGCTCGGCGTTCTTGCGCATCTCCTCCGTCTCGTGCACACGGGATGCCAGGTGAATCCCACGTAGCCATACGTGCAGCACATGTCATTGCCGCTCCAGACAAAGATGAGATTAAATCCGGAGTCTCCTGAGTCCGGCAACTGGCAGCGTGAGTGGTAGACTGCATCCGTGCTCCTTTCCCTACTAAACCCTGAACCCTAAACCCTAAACCCTGAACCCTGAACCTACTTACATGGAGCCTCCTTCCTGCTAATGGAGAAAGAAACGGACAGGAAATTGACAATGAAACGCAAGGGGGAGATTATCGTGGTTTGTAGGTCTTGCCCTCCCCCAAACTACATCCCACGAGTAGCCCCTGTATAACCCCCAAGAACATGCTTGCTTCCATTGGCATTTTCATTCATCCCCAGGCCCAAACCTAGATTGTAGTTTCCAGTTTCTATGCCATTCTGTCATTCCCTACTAACAACCAGAAAACCCCATACATCCCTATATCCCCCCCCTCGTATTCCGTTTCATGTTAAATTGGCTTTCGCATTCTGCACCCCTACATATCCGGTAAGATTATTTGTGTTTTGTTATCTGGTCTTTGTTGTAGTTTGTGCTTTTCGCCTTTTTTTTTGCTGTTTGGGCGGGTGCGTATTT